CAGCAGCACTTCAGAACGTAGAATGGGACTGGGAGATTATAAAGCAGATGGTATCGATGCACGTGAAGGTCAGAGCCGAACACACACACGCACCTTAGTCAAGAGCTCACCGGCAAACATTTGCCAGAGCTACTATCGGCATTGGGATTTGTTTGGAGACTCGCAGTGGACTGGAAAGAATACGTGGCCCTCTGCCTGCGATGCCGACGACATCCGCCTGCTGAAGAAGAAATCTCAAGCGCTTCCTGAGGAGTTCTACCAGCAAAGCCAGCTGCCGATCATCACCCCATTTAATGCCATGAAGTGGGTGGATCATATGCAGGGCTTCAAGCTGCATCTTCAGGAGCGCATGGTCGGAAATGGACGCTTCTCGTTGAGATGCATGAAGCTCGGACTATTCTCAGGTGGCGTTTCCTGTGGACTATCGGCATGGCTGGAACATGGCGGAATCAGGGCATCAGCACATCCTCACGACGATTCGGGAGACACTGGGCATCACTCACCTGGTGGGCTCCTACCTGTACTCCCTGGCCACAGGCGTCGCGAGGAGATGTTACCAAGCGCGAGGCCGAACGGCAAGTGCAGCATCCAACCCTCAGATGGTGCGTGGCAGACATTCAGCATGGACAACAACGCGGTGAGCACTCGGCGGTCGAGAATCCAGACACTAGCGAGATCTGGGACAAATCAGATCTACGAGAACTACACTATCTCGGCTTACGACAGCACATCGGTGATCACTGCCCCTTCGGTGCTACAAACGATGAAGGCGAGCCCATCCGCAAGCGCACCAAACACCTGAGGACCTTCGGCATCCGAAGCGTGGCAAGGCATTGCAGATGTAAGATTCCTCGCGGACAGCTAGTTGGTCACAGCGGTGGAGTGCACAAGACAGCGCGACAAGCTGTTTATCCCAAGCTGCTGTGCGACGCGATCGGCAAGGATGTCACGCGGCTGGTTACCCAAACGACTTCCAGCTTTTACCAAGACGAGGTGAACTTACCGTTTTGGACCTGCCCGAGATGCAAGCACGAATCCAAGACAGAACAACCTCGCTCTCGAGTTCCCGGGCAGCGTCGGCTGTCCGGCACCGAAGCACCTCGGGCAGCACCAGCAGCAGACGCAGTGCTGGCACCTCCGGCACAGCCCGCGGAGACTGACGACGACGGAGAACCACCTGCACCAGCGCCGGCACCACCTGCAGTTGCCGAAGTCCAGGATGAGCCTCCTGACCCTGACGAACCAGTGGCACAGCCACTACAGGAGGTACCTCTCGAGCCCAACGCTGGCGAGCAGGTGGACAAGGCGCCAGCTGTGGCACCTTCTGAAGAACCTTCCACATCAGTCAAGCCAGCGGCTACGGAGGACGAGCCAAATATTGCAAAGAAAGAATGGTATGACGTCAAACCACGTTTCGACCTATCCAATCTTCTCAAGCGAGTGACAGAAGCCGCAGCCAACAAAGACAAGAAGGAGTGCATTCGATGTCTTCTCGGATTGCATGTTCGTTTTTGGCGTGTTTCTGTTCCTGACATGGCGGTCCTCCTGAAGCAGGGCGATTGCTGGACACCCTGGATTGCGCGAATTCTTGTTCTTATTCCGAAAGCCTGTAAGGACTGTCGGGACTACCTGCCATCTGCCACCAAGCCTCAGGTTGGCATCGCGACGGCTATCTACTTCAACCAACGAGTCCAGGTGGACTTTTTCCAATGGGATGAATGCTACATCCTTGTCGCAGATGAGTTCGGCAAGTACAAGATGGCAGATTTTCCCAAGGACCGCGCGGCAGGATAATCTACTTGCGACAGTGCTTCGGATGTGGATCAGATATTTTGGCCCTCCATCGCGATTGATCCCAAACCAGGAAGGCGGCATGGTCTCAGAGTTGGCTTCCAGGATGTGCGATAAGTTTCGCATCTCACGAAGATGTGCGGGCGCCGACGATCGCGCGATGACTGGCCTGGTTGAGCCGTGGATCTCCCTGGTCAGACTGCGCTCGCTCAAGCTCAAGAGAAGCGGTCAGTCTCAAGGCCTACAAGGGACGAGCGCAGACATCATTCAGAAAGCGGCCATGACCTCCAATTCTCTTGTGTCATATGGAGGCCAGACGGCCAATCAGGTGGAACTGGGTTATACGCCGAGAGACTATTATGACATGGAAGCCACCATCCTGGATTCTATCAACTGATAGCTGCCCGGGCCGATTCGAGTCGGCCCTGAGACTCAGGATGTAGGCAAAGATCGCCATGGCCAAGAGTCTCGTAGAGGAGCGCATCGCACGATGCTACCGAACTCGACAGCAACAGACACCTCCAAGACAGCGGCTTCAACCAGGAGAGCCTGTTGATATTTATCGTGTGCCAGAGCGGAAGGATCAATCAGGATGGCGGGGGCCAGCTGAGCTGGTCAAACTCTCTCACGGTACTGGAATCGTAATATAGAAAGATATTCCATAGATCCTGCCCACAAGACATATTCGACGACACGCCACGCCATCAAACTTGAGAAGATCAAGCTGGACGACGGGAACCACTGCGCATACTTGCTGGGCGAATCCGAAGAGGCATCTGACCTCGAGAAGCTCATGGGCCTTGTCGACGGCACGGCCTACGGTCAATGCTCGAGGCTCGGCGAGTTCTTTGATCGCACTACTATGAGCTGTACCCCGCCTGTCGCACAGCTCTGACTTCTCATGCATTGGACTTTGCGCATGAAGATCTACCAGCGGGTACTTCGTCTTAGGAGTGTGGATGGTCTTGTATATGGCACGGCAGTCAGACGGATGCCAGCTCTCGATCGAATATATCGCGGTTTGCTGGTCACTTGGTCACGCTCAGATCACGCGCGCTACCTCACGCAAGAAGTTCTGCCGCGCAAAGGTATCAACATCAGCGACTTCTCCATGGACGACTGGGGCAACACTTCGTTCTTTCTCATGCATCGCATGGAGCTGCCAATTGATCCATACCAGGGCGACTACGAAATGCCCGATGCGAACGACCTCAGCAACATAGAAATACAACCAGAAAACATGCGGGACATCGAGCAGGACATCCGCGATGTGGTCGGCCTACTTCCTGGAGATGGAGACTGGGGAGATTACATCATGTCCTACTCTCCCGATGTCAGCGCCGCGACGGGCTCTGGGAAACCCTCTCTCTTGGATACTCTGTCCAGGTCACGCGATCTGGACGCGACGCGGCCAGCAGCAACATCTGCGAGATCTTCTGCGGCAAACGCGACAGAGCTCAGTCAACATTGGCAGCCCATGCCGGCATCGGCAACACAAATACCTCAGACGACGGCGGCAACATCGCACGAGCTGGCTCCTCTTTCTACTGTTGGACCTCCAATGCAAGCGCGACTGCATAGAAAACCAGCGAACGCACAACCTTCTTCAACATCAGCACCATCGTCATCGTCAGATGCTATCTCCTCTCGACCTCTGCCTTCTGGATCAGGTGCACGGCCAACAATGCCGGTCGAGGGCGCTCATCCACCGCGACGAGTGCGGATGCACGAACGTGGTATGCCTGCGGACATGAGCGGCGTACATTCTGATGCATCGCTACCCCGGCAGGAATAGACGACAAGGACAAATTTGTCAAAGGAGATGAGCGACAAACAGCCAAAGTCAGAGCGTCACAGCAAGCACCCAAAAGGAAGGCGGAGATGAACATATCGGAGGCGCTCAGCGACATCCTGCCAGAAGTTCATGCGCCTCAGCCAGCACAACAAACGGAGATGGACGTGTCCAAAGCACTCGGTGAACAACTACCTACCGAGGTTCCGGCTCCTCAGCCTGAACATCGACCTGACTCTGCAGAAGTACCAGTGCCTGGATTGGCGCCACCATCCGAGCTGGATCTCTCGAGAGCTCTGAGTGACCTACTGCCAGATATTCCTGGGCCGGAGTCTGTACAACATGATCCTCCAACTCCAGAAATACATCTGGCACCTATACGTCCTCATGATGATGTGGACCCTGAATCTTCTACGTCAATGGAGCAGCCGGCTTCGAGACCCTACGCTGGCACCTCTCTGCCTCTCGATGATGATCGCAATCATCAAGGCCTCAGTTCTGGAGACTGAAGCGAACTACAGGATCTTCCAGCAGAAGACCCAGTTCCAATCGAACAGCCAGCGCACGTGGACATGCCGGAGAGTGGCCCTGCACCTATTCTGTACCAGGACCTCTACGCCAGGCGCAACGCCGCGACCAGCTGCTTGAACCTCACGGCAGACGTCGAATAATATCTCAACAGCACGTGCGAGTCATCTCTCATGGACTCGGTCACGATGGTTGTTGAGCAGCACTGCCAGGCAAACTACTTAGCGGGCGCAATCGGTCGAGGCGCCGATCTTCCATGGAGTAGATCTCAATCAGCTTGGGCCATCTCAGGACCACGGCGACGCAGCGAATGTTGTCTCTTCGACTTGGAGACCGGCGAAGCTGTGACCTAGGCGAGCAGGAGATTTACGAGAATTGGGACCTGGTCAAAGCAGCAGATCGAGCAGAGCTTACAGCATTCGTGGATCACTCAATGTTTGCTTGCTCTGCCACGAAGAGCCTGGACTCGAATGATGTGATTGATGCGGCCTGGGTACGACGTTGGAAGCTCAGTCAGAAGACGAAGATGCGGGAGGTGAAGAGTTCACGATGCGGCCGTGGTTTTCTGGACTCACAGGAACAGCAGATACAAAGACATTCTAGCACGGCATCCAGAATCAGCCAGAAGTTGGTGGTGAGTATGGCTCAATGTCATTACCTCACGGATCTGGAGAGTTGGGATATCTCCACAGTTTTCCTGCAAGGTCTGTCGTTCGCAGAATTGAGAAAGCGATCGCGCGAACTGAAGCTGTCGCGCACCACGGTACGAAAGGTCTATCTCAATCCTCCGGCTAATGTACGGAGACACACGGCCAGCATCAAGAACAGCCCAGTGATTGCGCAACCAGTGGATGACGGTCTTCTCCTCTTGGAACTTCTGAAGCCCATGCATGGACTGGTGGACGCACCTCACCTCTGGCAGATCGCACTGACTCTCCACCTCGTCTCCCATCTGGAGGCTCGGATAAGTTTATGGGACGACAACTTCGTGTACTGGACGGTGAAGGACCTGGACGCATTGCGACGACGCTATCCTCATACAGCACAAAGAGTGTGGCATTTCAGAGAGTCTCCTGGCAGCGATGACGGACAAGCTTGCGGCCTGCCTTTCTATCCATGTGGACGAGCTTCTCTCACAATCACGAAAACAAGTTCTGAATTTCTTGCGAAGCTTACTCGAACGGAAACTCGGAGCAGTCAAGCGACAGAAGTTGCCTTTTCACGCACAACGGAGCTCAGTACAGCAGATTGGCCAATGATAGTATTGTGATACAGCCGCTGGATCACCTCAAGAAGATCAAGCCATGTGAGGTTCCGAATCTGAGCGATTACCAACTTGTTTCAGCGCTGCATGCACATGGTTTCAGGAGTATCCTAACCAGCATGTTGTTTCTCTGCCAATGCAATGTGCACATCTTGACGGAAGTGACGCAGCTGCAGGGTTTCAACAACGAGCCAAAGGTCATGCACCTCAAGCGAGCGAGCGCTGTTCTGAAGGAGGCACAGAGTGACAATCAGCTTCTAAGACTTCATTTTCCTCGACTGGACCGTACTGGCAGAGAGCGACCAGTGACGCAAATCATACAACAAAGACGAGTGTCTATCCTCAAGAAGACCAAGTCATTTTGATGATGCAGGACATGATGTTTGAGACGAAGTCGGACATTATTCGTGACAAGACGTGTCTCGGCGGACTGTGTCATCCTATGGCTGTTCTATCAAACAAAACAAAGGAAGTGGCCCATTCAACAAGCATGGGGGCGACGAACTGCGCGCTGAGTGTCGTGAGCAACGCACAGATGATAGCATTGAGAATCACGGAAATGCAGATGGACCACAACATTTCTCAGCAAGATCGGATACGCGCAATGACGAAGGTCAATGAGACAGGAGCCTACGAGCTTGCCATTGACCACCTCACGGGCTGCAAAGACGTGTTCGAGCTAGTGACTGGTCTGAAAAGAGTGCCTCAATATAAGCAGCAGAGATTACCAGTGATGGCACTACGTGAGGAGAGGGTCGCAGCACGCATCAGGTGGACGATGCACGTACCTACTGAGACTATGGTGGCAGATGCAATGACAAAACCAGGGATGTTCAAACAGATGATGAGGCTTTTGACAACTGGATATCTTGACATGAACCTGGTGGCCAAAATGGCGACAGCAAGACGTATAACACACCGACCGGACGAGTACCAGGAATCAGACCTCGAGCACATCCACAAGTACAACTACGAGCTGGACAACACCGACGAGACGCAGAGCAACATCATCAACCAAACGAACTACGGCATGATTTGCTTTAGCTTCACGGACTGTGAGGCCTGCCAGCGCTGCCGCCCGGAGTCTCTGCTGTCCTAATTCTCTCTCTCTCTCTCTCGAGCTGGTGAAAGCACTGTTCACCACTAGTTTTTCTTTTTTGATTATTTTCCAACCTTTCTGATTCGCAACAGCCTCTTAGAAAGTATAATGAGACTGATGGGATAAGCAGATGTTAGAGCAGTAGCAGCATGTTATTCAGAGAAAAGGTTTGATCAAGTGTAGTATCTGTTCCGTACGCATTAGGGCTCATGGTTTCGCAAGTCAACTAAACATTTCAATCCCCCCTCCCCCCCTCCCTCCCTCCCTCCCTCTCTCCCTCCTCTTCCTCCTCCTCCTCCTCCTCCGCCTCTTCCTCCTCC